GACATTGAAGGACCTAAGCGTCCTCAAGAAGTGCAGTCTGCTGTGTCCCTTCTTGTAAACAGCTTGGCTGTTCTTTCTCAAGCCCAGTCTGTTGTCCAGGTGAACTCCAAGGTATTTGTATTCCTCAAATACCTCAACTTTTTCTCCCATGATTGAAACAGTGTTTGACTCCACCCTGTTTCTTCTGAAGTCTAAAGTCATCTCCTTTGTTTTGTGCACATTCAAGGTCAGATGATTGTTTCCACATCATGCCACAAAGCGCTCCACTAGCTTCCTATCCATCTCTGATACACCCGATGACTGCAGAGTCATCTGAGTATTTCTGTCGATGACAGGTCTCTGATTTGTACTGGAAGTCTGAGGTGTACAGGGTGAAAAGGAATGGTGAGAGTACAGTCCCCTGTGGTGCTCCAATATTGCTGATCGCCTGGTTTGATGTGCAGTTCTTCAGCCTCACAAACTGTGGTGTGTTTGTCAGGTAGTCTTTAATCCAGGCGATAGTTGAGGTCTCCACCTGTGTCTTCTGGAATTTCTGGCAAAGTACATCAGGCTGGATTGTGTTAAATGCACTGGAGAAATCAAAGAACATGACCCTGACAGTGCTGCCTGCTTTGTCCAGATGACAGTGGATTGGTTGAAGCAGCTGGATGATGGCATCTTCAACTCCAACTCCATGGCAATAAGCAAACTGCAGTGGGTCCTGATATGTTCTAGTTTGCTTATTCAGATGGGCCAACAGGAGTCTCTCCAGGACCTTCATGATGTGGGATGTCAGGGCAACCGGTCTGCAGTCGTCATTGACTGATGGGCAAGTTTTCTTTGGAACTGGAACAAGGCAGGATGTCTTCCACAGTACTGCAATCTTCTCCTGGGCCAGGCTGAGGTTGAAGAGGTGCTGCAGAATCCCACAGAGCTGCTCTGCACAGGCCTTCAGTACCCTGGGGCTGGCCCCATCTGGACCTGCAGCCTTGTTCCTGTTCAGTCTCTCCAGCTGCCACTTCACCTGACTTCTAGAGACAGATAGATAGATATTGTTCCTCTGTAGTTTGTTCTCCAGCTTCTTCCTGTATGCCTCCTTACTGTCTCTGATCTTGATCTTCAGTTGCTTCTGTGTATTCCTCAATAATTCCCTGTCTCCCTCCTTGAAGGCTCTTTTTTCTCATTTAGCATATTCTTCAGGTCACTGGTGATCCAGGGTTTGTTATTAGCGAAGCATCTCACTGTTCTGGTGGGTATCATATGGCCCACACAGAAGTTTATATAGGTAGTGACACATCCAGTCATAGCATTGATGTCCTCTTCATATCCTTGGCAGAGAATCATGCAATCTGTGGTCTCACAACAACTCTGTAGGGCTTCTTCAGCATTCTGTTACCATTTTCTCACAGTTCTTCTTGTCACAGGTTGCCTCTGAACAAGTGGTTTGTATTCTGAGCAGAGAAAAACAAGATAGTGATCTGATTGTCCCAGAGGATGTCTTGTTTTGGACATTTATGCATTCTTTACATTTGCATAACACAAATCCAATGTCTTGTTTTCTCTGGTGGAGCAGCTGACAAACTGTTGAAATGTTGGAAGTGTAGCAGAGAGCGAGGCATGATTAAAATCACCAGATATAGCCACAAATGCATTGGGGTGCTGGGTTTGTAGCTTAGCGACAACGGAACTGATGGCATCACATGCATTTTCAGCAATGGCTGAAGGTGGAATATAAACGTTTGCCAAGACAACACTGGAGAACTCTCTAGGCAAATAATATGGGTGACAACTTACTGCCAAGAGTTCAACATCTGGGCTGCAGAGATGATATTTCACTGAAACATGACCTGGATGGCCCCATCTGTTGTTGACAAGCACTGCCACTCCACCTCCTTTTCTTTTCCCGCTCCTCTTCAGATCTCTGTCTACTCGTATAGTCAAGAATCCTGGCAGAGAGACGCTGGAACCGGGGATATGGTCATGCAGCCACGTCTCAGTGAAACACATAACACTACATTGACGATACTCTGGCTGAGTCCTTGAAAGGGCTTGAAGTTCATCCATCTTGTTGGCAAGTGATCTCACATTGCCCATTATGATCAATGGAAGAGATGGTTTGAATTTCCTCTTTCTCTGTCTCCGTTTTGCTCCCGCTCTGCACCCACGCTTCTTGCGTTTTAGCTCATTTTGGATTTGGGGCTTCAGTTGAGGTATTATTTCAGCCATCCCAATGTTAATCAGCTGCTCCCGATTGTAAACCAGGTTGATGCCATGATTATGCATCATAACAAATGCTCAAAAAGGGAAAAAAGTGAAAAATAGCAGTGAAAATCCTCCAAGCTTCACAGTACCAGAAACAGAAAAGTAAAAAGTCCAAAAAAAAATGCAGTTTTTCTTGAGAAACTCGAAGAAAAAATGTCCAAGAAAAGGCAAAACTTACATATAGTCAACAGAGCTACTCCAACATGCAGCCACCCAGAGCAGCACAGTTCTGGGGGGAAAAAAAAGTAAAAAAAAAAAAACGAGGTCCTCAAGAGGCGCCATGGCGTCGGTTGAGTCAGCCGTGTTCGGATAGTCCAATCACCGAATGAAATGACAGCCTTAAAGCCTCGGAGCAATCAAAAGTCGAAGGACGGAGGTACTCTAACCAGCTGCCATCTTGTTCGCCATGCCCACGTGACTCTGACTCTAAACTTTCTGAACTTTCTGCTTTTAAATCAAGACCAGACTGAAGTTCTCATCTTTGGACCAGAACTTCAGAAAAGAAAACTGCTTAATCAATCACCTGACCTGAACGACATTACATTAGTCTCCGAGAACAAAGTAAAGAACCTTGATGTTATCTTTGATCAGGACATGTCATTCAAACCCCACGTTAAACAGGTTTGTAGGATTTCCTTCTTCCACCTTTGGAATATTGCTAAGATTAGAAACATCCTTTCCATGAGTGATGCTTTCAGACTGCAGGCCTACTGGTGGTTCCCAGAATATCTAGAAATAGGATGGGGGGCAGACCTTTTAGCTTTCAGGCTCCTCTCTTGTGGAACCAACTCCCAGCTTTAGTCCTTGAGGCAGACACCTTGTCTACTTTAAAAATAAGGCTTAAAACATTTTTATTTGATAGGGCCAATGCTTAAAATCTGATGTTAGCCCAGATCTGGACAAGTGGGGGAGTAGAGGGAAGTGGAGTGTACAGTCGGTAAAGACGGCTCTCTCTTGCCCTAACTCTAACATGCCTCCATCTAAAAGGCTAGGTTATCCAGGGTAATCTCTGTAGTTATGTTGCTGTAGGCTTAGACTGCTGGAAGACTTACTGACCACTTTCCACTCTCAACTACTTTCTTTTACACTTTGTATTTTAACTGCATTATGTCCTACCTACCTATCTGGTTAATCCACATGCGTATTTCATGAGCATTTTTTTACGTCGAAGTACCCCTGAAGGACTTAATTGTTCGTCCTTTTATCAAAACTTATTTTGAGCCTGAGAGTGTAAACTTTATTTTTTCTCTAAGTGTTTTTTCCCCAAATAAAGCTACAATGGTGTTCTGCAGAGCTGTGGTAGACTCATGGTTGGGTTTTATAAAAATAAACTTGAATTGAAAAATTGAATTGAAGGCTCTGGGGGTGGATGATATCCACCCGGAGTGGGAGTACTCTGTTAGAATGGGTTACCAAGCACTCTGATGTGGGCTGTTAGGTCCCTGTATGACTGGTGTCAGAGCTTGGTCCACATTGCCGGCAGTAAGTCGGGCTCATTCCCAGTGAGAGTTGGACTCTGCCAAGGCTGCCGTTTGTCACCGATTCTGTTCATAACTTATGGACAGGATTTCTAGGTGCAGCAAAGGAGTTGAGGGCATTCGATTTGATGGCCAGAGGATCGGGTCTCTGCTTCTTGCAGATGATATGGTCCTGTTGGCTTCATCAAAACATGATCTTCGGCTTTTATTGAAGTGGTTCACAGCCGAGCGTGAAGCAGCTGGGATGAGAGTCAGCTCCTCTTGAATTAGAAAAGGGGATGAGGAATGGCCCAAGTGGAGGAGTTTAATCCTCCACTATATGAGTTGAATAAATGCCTTCTAGTGGGTTAAAACCTTTAACAAAGTTTTAACCAGGTGTTTTTAATGTCGATAATTGGTCTTTTAAAAATTAACATTTTATTATTGTTTTCATTTGGCATTATTTTACTAATGCTCACCATCTGTTTGCTCTCTTGTTTTTAGAACCTTTTATGACAAATCAAACAAATTTTTAATTCCACTCCCCTGTTTCTTGTAACCCCCACCCTTCACACATTTTACATCAGAGTCGGGGTTTAACACAGCTAAAAACATTTAAAAGAAGTTTAGTTGGCAGGGTGTCCAGACAGCAGGTAGATGAATTTAAGATCGTTATTATGTCCCCCAGTGTTTTAGCAGGAATCACACTGAAAACTGGCCACAAACCTGTGTGGCTGTAGCTGTGGTCTGATTGTGCATGTTGACATGGAGGAATGAATGGTCGATCTGATGTTAATGATTTTCTCATAGTAGAACAGGTCTTGGGTCACAAAATGGAATAATAGTTTTTATTAATGAAGAACTTTAGAGATTTTGTAAAAAGACAAGGTAAAACAGACAGATTATGCAAAAATAAAACAAACTGTAAAACAGAGTTTTGATGGTGGAGAGGTCAGAGCAGTTGTGGAGAGGTTGTGGGAGTGAGTTCTGAGTGAGTTTTGAATGTTATGCACTGAGAGAGAGGAAGTCGATGGAGGTGACGTGGTCACTGGTTAAGAGACAGGCAGGACAATTTTGGATGTCTTGAAGTTTGGTGAGGGCTTTGGATGGGATACCATATAGATGCTATTGCTGCAGTTGATTTATGATGTGATGAATACATGAATAAGGGTTTCAGGGACAGAGAAAAAAAGGGAAGATCAAAGTGTAACAAAATGCAATCCAATCACACGACAAAAAGATCCTGGAATACCTCCACCACCAATACACCTTTTCCTCTTCCATCACCACAATCTACCCCTTCACAATTCTGTCTGCCCCCTCAAATATGCCAGCCTACAACTGGCCCCGTTCTTTACATACATTTATGTTTATAATGTAGGAAATGAAGAAAACTACTTTCTCCTTCACTGTACTTAAGATTTTAGAATTGTAAACTGTTCAGGAGGTTGTACGTCCCTCAGTCCACAGTATCTACAGTATGTTGGCCTCACAGGAGCCGGGCTTCAGGATCTGTAAAGTTACAATATGTTTAACAGCTTTTCTGAACCAGGGATAAAACATGGCATAGATCAGAGGGTTTAGGCAGGAGTTAAGATAAATGAGAAACAACAAGAATGATACATATGTTGTAGTTGTAAAACTATCTATAAAATAAAAGCAGCAGTAATATGGACATAAACACATCAGATACACAACAACAAGAACACCCAGTGTTCTGGCTGCTTTTAGCTCTGATTTCTTTGTTTGTTGTTGCACTGAAAGCTGAAGGGTGACACTTCTATTGTGAGAGTACATGGCACGAGCCTGAGTCACAGCCACCACAAATACTCTCATATACAGAACTATGATGATTGTAACTGGAAATAAAACTGTTATAAACAGATCTAAAGTTCCTACAAAATAGTCAAAAGATACTGTACATTCTCCAATGCAGGAATTACTCCTGCCTGGCTGAATCAGCTCATCTTTTAACAAGCAAGTTACATAGAAAGCAACACAGCTCCAACAGAGACAAACACAGTGTTTCATTCTTGGTAAGGTTATTCTGGTGGGATAATGCAGAGGGTAACAAATAGCCACATAGCGATCAGCTGATATGAGAACAATGGTTCCAGTTGAAGCACAGACAGACAACATGGAAACATAATAGTAAAATAAACATGTGATATTACCGATTATCCAGCATCTTGTTCTTCTAACGATTTCAAATGGAATGATTAAAAAGCCAATAAGGAAATCTGACACAGCCAGAGAGAGGATGAGGATGTTAGCAGGTTTCTGGAGCTTCCTACAAAGAAAGTCAGTCAGTGAGGTTAAAATAACTTATGCAGCGTAGAATCACATTCTGATCAGATAAAAATATTGAGAAATGTGATGTTTTTCTTTTTAGTATCTACCTGAAATAGGAGACTGAGATTATGATGAGGAGGTTTAGAACTGCTGTGATCAGAGAGAAGAAGGACAACACGATGTTCAGGAGGACAGCTTCAGACCAGTGAGGTGTTGGCCTCCTGCAGGACCTGTTGAGTTGTGGAAAACAGAACTCAACTGCAATCTGTATCTCCATCATCAGACGGATACTGCTGTCTGAGCAGAACCCTGTCACACAGATCATTTATACTTTATTTTCGTTACACAATTCTTATTTGATCTGAGCACTAACATTACTCTTCCCTTGTGGCCAAAAACATCAAGGCAACAAAAACAGGCTAACATATGATGTTAGACAGGAGTCTCCATGGACTAGTAGAGGCCCGTCCGTAGGGGGCTTTAGGACACCATCCTCACTTACTTGAAACAACAAAAAAGTTAAAAACTCAAAAGTTATTTATATATTTTAGGGATCTCCAACCTTTTTTGACGTGTGAGCTACTTTTACACAATGAAAGTACGATTAGTTCACATTGATTCTTTCCATATGTGAATAAGCTTATGTTAAAAATGCTATTTTACTATATTACCATGCATTGCATTCACAAGTTGATTTCTCTTTATCATCAATGTTATTAAAAAATGTTTTAAAAATAATTAAAAAGTTCAAGGAAAATAGTTTAAACAAAACATTTTTTAACTAGTCAGATAATGAAATACAAATTATTTCGTGTGAATATTTTAAATGGATCAGTAACATAACTTTGTGAGAACACAGGAACAGCTAACCTGTTCTTGTTCAGTCCCTGACGCTGTGCTCTGCCCATAGCCTCAGCAGCAATGTCATCTTTTCATAGTATTCAGCTATTTTATCATAAATGAACAAATATTTCCAAAACCTATCAAATGTCTTGGTAACACTTTACAAATATGATCCCAAAATTGGCTCACCTAATGAGGAACTAATGATAAATGAATCAGGATTTAATGGTTACCTAAGCTTCACAACCACTTCATGGTGGATTTATTAGCTGATTCTTGAATGATTACATAATGATTGGTTGTACGAGTTGGCAGATGGCTGAAGGATCAGAGGAGGTATTCATTACCAAAAAAACAGCACTTTATTCTCCACTCAACTCCCTAACTACTGAATCACCATGACAACTCGTCTTCACAATAAAACCATGTACTTCTGTTTTCTTTGGTAGTAGAATATACCCTTCTCGTGTGAGATTAACACATAAACCGAACACCGCACAGACCCCCCAGAACACAGAAGGGCGGTAAAACACAGAAAACCCCATTTAATAAAAGTGAAGCAAACATCAGCTATATCGAAGGGGCAATTTAATGGGGCAACCACCTCTACTGGTCTTAGTTTGATGGACAGAGTCCATCTCGGACTGTCAAACCCTCTGTGGGTGAGTGACCAGGCCAGTAGGAATGGGGTTTGGCGGCCGACTATGACGAGGTGGTACAGCCAACTCTACAGGCACGTCGGCCAAGAAATGGGCTTACTTAAGAAGGAAAGCTGTCACTGCTGGCGGGCAGACCTTGGTTCAGAAACCTTTGCCATGGCAAAAGTCAATGGTTTGTGGTTGACAAAGTCAGTGAACTTGCGACCTTCCAAAATGAACCGAAAATGGTGAGTCGCCAGAAAAAGCAAGGAGCTCCCTATCGAACGTGCTATATTTCTGTTCAGTAGGTTTGAGTTTTCGACAAACAAAAAGCAAGAGGCTGCCAGGCGCCCCCGACCCATTGCTCGCGCACCCCACCAATAGCGAAATCGGAGGCTTCTGTGGCAAGGGCCACGGGAGCATCTTGGGTAGGGTGTGCCAGTAGAGCAGCATCTGCCAATGCCATCTAATGTGCTCGACACACAGGAGGCGACATCGCCTCTCCTCCATTCATTTTCAATGAGACATGGACGACAAAGCGATAATCGCGGGTCTCTCTCCTACTAAGCGAAACGCGAAAAACGTGCGTGGGAAAGTTTGCACTCGTGCACGTGTCGTGCACGTACGACCCAGCGACGCGATCCCAGAAAGTTGAAACATTTTCAACTCTTCATCGCTGTCGCTCGGGCGAGGACCAATCAACGGAGGTTTCATTCACTGACCAATGAGCGGACAGGATGCTCCGCACATCTCCGAGCAAACATGGAGGAGGAGTTGATTATTATTATGTTTTATATAGTAAAATCAGAAGTAAGATTTCACATAACTCTAGCAACAACTTGTGAAACATCATATCTACCACTTTATTAACTCTGAACCGCTTAAATAACCTTAATTCCCTCCAACCTGACACAGCCAAACAAAACAACGGAAGTTTCGATTTCGCCATGGAACAGAATGCGTAGACGGGTTTACCGCTGGCCGCTGCCGCGGGTCGCCTCCCGTGTGTCAGGTAATAAAAGCGACAGCGACAAATTTTGCTGATCGCTGTCGTTTGTTGCCTCCCGTGTGTCGAGCCCATAACCCCTCCTTTCTACCGGAGCCGTCAGCAGCACGTTACTGCAGCAGCACGTCTTGCTCGCGTAAGCTGCTGCTTGACCCTTCCCACCAGAGACGTGTAGCAGCAGGGGAGCAGCTGTCACCGACAGACGTCAGTAACCACAACAACAAGCAGGAGAAAACCACATCATGGCTCCAAAAGGTTTGTGTTTTATGTTCTGTCCGTTTTATAATCGCCAATACGGACCTGAAAAACAAAGGAGACCGCTAACTAGGTGATACCTTCTCACAGGGCCGCACAGTTAGTAACTCTTTTTTTTTTTAAGTAAAGCAACCGGAAGGCAGTAGGTTTCTTTATTCTGAAAATCTCCGGAAGCTTCTCTCCATTTCCGCTTTACTTTTCCTGTCTTTCCTTCCCCAAAAATGTTGAACTTGACCCGTTTCAGAGGCGTAGCGCATAGAAAAAAGAACCAGCGTGTAAGGGCCGCGACATGCTGCTCCTGAGACGCGGCCAACTCGCGCTGCTGATGGATCCGGTGGAAAAGGTTCTGTTGACCACAGCGGTTCCTATCGGCAGCTATGACGTGCTGCTGCAGTAACGTGCTGCTGACAGCTCCGGTGGAAAGGAGGGGTTAGCTTCATCAAAGGCATGTAGCATGTCCTGTGTCCACACGGCAACTTGGTTGCCCTTCTTGACCTTGAGGGCATCATAGAGAGGGTACATAAGGTGAGCTGCTCGGGGAATGAAACTGGGTCCAAAAAGTCCAGATAGGAGTCCCATTTGCAGCATCCAACTGGGGACCATGCACAGGAAACCAGGTGTCGGCAGCAGAAGCTGGAATAACACTCCGCTGAGCTCCTGAATCGACTAGGAAATGTCGTCATGAAGAAGCGTCTGTCAGGAAGAGCAGCCCGTTTGATGAGCCGGCGTTAACTGCTGCTATTGAGCGCCGGCTTTCCCGTTTCCCTGGTCGGGGAAGGAGCAGGGTGGAATGCAGTGTCTCATCTTAGATCCAAACTTGCGGTGGTAAAAACACAGTCCAGCATTCCTCTCTTGTGTTCTGTGACAGCTGTCACTGACATGTTCTGACATGGCTCAGCTGGCACTCGGGGAACGATCGGCATGATGGCGTGAACGCCATGCGCCCTAGAAGCCAGCAGGATCTTGTCTGCTTCCTCCACCAACGCTCGGTAGTCCTTAGAGCGCAGGAACTCGGAGCTGGCCAAGGTGGTGTGAACAACCGGCAGTAGATGGCATTGGAAAAGATGAGTAAAAAGAAAAGAAGAGTCACCTGTCCCAAGTAGCGCCAACATGTTCATCAGTTCAGACGGTTTGCTATCTCCCAAATCATTGAGCGAGAACAGGCGGTCAGCTCCCTCCTCCTCTGACAGAAGGTAGATCCTGAGCAGACTGTCCTTCAAATACCATATTTGTTAGCCCGCGGAGGCTGCCACAACAGCCCCATTAAACGGTGGGTAGAACCAGCGTCCAGTGCGGCGACCACACAAAAGTATTTCACGTCATACGAAGTAATCCCCCGGAGGTAGAATTGAGCCTCAACATGTTGGAACCAAGGTTCTGGGCCGTGTTGCCATAAATCTGGCAGCTTGAAAGATGCTGCGAAGACAGCGGAGGAAATGGCTGCGGCAGCCGGTAGAATATCCCCTTCAGCGGCAGAACGAACAGCAGAATGCATCTAGATTGGACGATCAGCAAACATAGTCCGACGTCGGGGTCACCAATGTAGGAGTTGGCAGATGGATGAAGGATCAGAGGAGGTATGTGTTACCAAATAATTGCACTTTATTCTCCACACAACTCCTAACTACTGAATCACCATGACAACTCGTCTTCACAATAAAAGTATGTACTTCCATTTTCTTTGGTAGTAGAATATACCCTTCTCGTGTGAGATTAACACATTAACCAAACACCACATGGTTAGTCATGAAATTATTATTACTTCCTGTTAAAGGAGCTTTCCTCTCCACTGTGGCTACATGCTTGTGTAACGCTGGAGATGTCCAAAGTTATTCGTCCACTGTATTGTCAGAGATCACCAGACATTGATTTCTCCACAGCCTGCTTAATCAAGGGTAACTGCATACTTTTCATCTCAAGACACAGGCTGTCTGTAGCCTTACACCAGAAGATCGTCAAAAAAATTCCATTGCCTGACTTCTTTTCTGCCACTAATTACATGGTGCTGCAACCAAGCCCCCACAATGCGGCTCTAAAATTGGTCTCAACCCGGAAGTACCACAAATTGCAGTTCCACCCTCATCTGCTGGGGGCTGGTGTCAGAAGCGAGCACATCCTCATTGACTCCCATGTTAAAAATACCAATTTCACAGCAGAAATAAACATGTTTACAGCCTGGTACCAATGTCGCGAGCACGTCCTATTTGTCGGTTCCTTTAAAACCTGGTTCCGTTAGAACTTAATAAGACTGCGCTGCGTTCTCAGGGTTCGTGGGGATGTCGGTGAGTTTTATTGTACTAGACCCTGGTTTGGACTACCTCAATTAGAATCAGTTCCCTATTTTAAGGAGAAATGATATGCCATACTTGTTTCTTTGTGAGAGCACACTTCCTTTTAATTAATCCCGTTATCTAGTGGTTTAGATACTAGGGCGAAGTCCAGCGGGAGGCCATCCGTCGCTGGCAATTCTTTGGGTTATTAGGATTAATTTGCGCCTCTGTCAGCTTTTGTGGGAGTTGGTAACTAGAAAATTATTCTTGTTAGTTGATCAGGCTAACATAGATTTATCAATTTATCTAATTAATCCAACCTTCCCACGCTGGCGGAGACTTTTTCACACTTGCAAACAAAGCCTAAATTAACCTACTAATGTTTTGGCTTCATCATCCTTAAGACATCTCGTTACTCGCGGGAGAGGAGAAGACAAGCTTCTTTACTTAAGGTTTCTTTTTATTAATCTGTCACAAACCGTAAAGTAAATCCTGATAATTCAGGAACCTATAATTAATGTGCTTACCTCTCCTTAAGATAGGTCAGGGCTTCTACTTGTCCCTTTAAAGAGGATGTTTAAAAAATCAGGAATAGGGATTATTTTTCAAAAAGTTTATTACAAGATTAAAAAATACAAAAATGAGTAGATATAAAACTGATCACTACCCCCACGGAGTAATTAATCCTAATAATTAACTAAGAATAATGAGTTGGCTTACACCAACCCTAAATCTTCTTTTCTTCAGGCTAATGCCCTCTAACACACGCTCACTAACTCTTGCTACCTTCTTTCCCAAAAACTGACCTGTCAGCCTCCGTCCAGAGGACGGAGGCCGACCTCTTCTATCCCAGCTCTGCTCTGTCTCTCACTGTCGTCTGCCCCAACTGTGATTTCTCTGCCTCTAGCTGCTCCTTTTATACGTACTCTTCTTGGGTCAGCTTAGACAAGGTAAAAAGTTCACTAGTTACACATACATCATTATCCCACGACAGTAAGGTCATGGGGTCATCTACCAGATACACACTTTTTAGCTCAACACATTCTTCAGGACAGCTTTTCAGCTGAACACAGGCCATTAGGTGTCTTTTCCCAAAGTCCAACATTCCTCATGAAGGCCTTCTGTCTTCTGATAGGCTCTCTTCAGGCTGTCTCCTGCGGCTCCGCCTCTTCTCCTGATGGTTGAGTCAGACACTTCTTGACCTTTTGCCCAATTTTACTCCCAGAAGCAAGTTCTGATCCCTTGGATTCTTCATGAAGGGTTTGTCCACTTCTGAGATGCTTTATCTTCAGTTGATCTTCTTTTGTCCCAGCTTGGATGCTTGTTGTGCAGTTGGGGCCCTGTCTTCTGGCTGATTTTACTCGCATAAGCAAGTTCAGTGTGTTTCAGTGTGGGTCCAAACTTATCTCTGTGGCCCACCTGTTGACTCCGTTTCTTGCCACTGTCTTTGGCATGTGGGAACTTGCAACAACCCCCATGCGAGAAAAATCTAGCCAGGGGACCATAAATCTTCAGTGCAGACACACAAGCATCCAGGCACCGAACATCCATTTCACTCAGGAATGGATGAACGCTCAGAAATTGAACTGTGGCTTCCACATCGATCCTCCTCTTCATCAGACTTCTCTTTAGCAGGCTGTGCTTTGGCTGCAGGTTTAGCAGCAGCTGCTTTGGCTGGAGCAGCCTTCTTTGGGGGTGGAGCTGCCTCCTCCTCCTCCTCTGAATCATCTTCATCATCGTCATCATCATCATCAGAAGACTCCTTTGCAGCAGGTTTGGCCTTTGCTGGGGCTTTGGCAGGAGGCTTGGCTGCTGGTTTTGCTGCTTTTGCTGCTTTCTTGGGAGGTGGGGCCTCCTCTGACCTATAAAGTGTGGCAAGTAACTGTGGCAAGGTGGATAAACGAGGGTCCGGGCTACACAAATTCTGGCATATCACCTCTTTACTAGATTTTGATCCAGCCATGACCTTTAATCAAGTAATTTCTTCAGAGAAGTTATTTTATAACTTGATGAGGGTGAACGTGTCGCGTGCACGTCCCATTTGCCGGTTCCGTTAAAACCCAGTTCCGTTAGAACTTATGAGACTGTGCATCCATCAGGGTTCGGTGGGGATGTCGGTGAGTTTTATTGTACTAGACCCTGGATTATAGGCTTCCTAGGTTAGAATCATATCTTTTATTTTAAAGGTGAAATAATATGCAAGACTTTTCCTTCTGTAGTAGCTCACTTCTTTTTAAGCAATCCCGTTATCTTTGGGTTAGATACTGGGGACGAAGCCCACCGGGAGGCCGACCCGCGTGGCAATTCTTTGGGTTATTTGGATTAATTGTGCCCCTATGAGCTTATGTGGGTGGTTGGTAACTATAAAATGATTTTTGTCAGTTGATCAGGCTAACATAAATTTATCAATTTATTTAAGTAATCCAACCCTCCAGCTAATAGAGACTTTTTCAACTTGCGAATCAGAGCCAAAATTAACCACTAATGTTCTGGTTTTATCATCCTTAAGACAACTCGTCACTCGCGGGTAAGGGAGGAGTCAAGCTCCTCTTATCTTAAGGTATCTTTATATTAATTCGTCACAAACCGTAAAGTAAGTCCTGATAATTCAAGAACCCATAATTAATGTGCTTACCTCTGTGCAATTAATGGTCAGGGCTCCCACTCGTGAAGCTTTAGAGAAAACCTGAAATAATCAGGATTATGTTTCTTTTTCAAAAAAGTTTATTACAAAATCAAAAAATACAAAAATGAGTAAATAAAAAACAACCGCTTCCCCCAAGGAGGGATTAATTCTAATGATTAAGAAATAAAGAGTTGATTTACACCAACTCGGTCTTCTGAGAATCGCCCCAAAACTTCTGTGGAATCTCCTCTCAAAAACTCCCCAGCTCTGGTCAGAGCTGCTCTTATATACCCTCCCTGGGCCAGCTTAGACAAGGTAAAAAGTCACATATACCATTACCTCATGATTGTAAGGTCATGAGGTCATTTACCAGATACACTTTTTAGCTCAATATAAAACATCTGGTGTCAGTATTACTTCATGCAGCATTCACATGAGGGCACAAAACGTTACATGCAGCACTCTTCATGGGAGCTCAAAACACTACATGCAGCACTCTTCATGAGAGCACAGGTCATAAATCTTCATGTTTGTAGCAAATTGTAGGTCTTCAGCATTCCTGAGAACTTCTGGACCCAAATGGGCTGTCTTCACTCTACTCCAATCCTTCTTTTCCCGCCAGAGGTGGATCCAGGGGTG